TGCATGCGGTAGCCCCGCTCCACCTGCTCCAGCACCTCCCGGTTGTTCATCCCTGCGTGACAAAGACACACACACACACACACCCCCCTTCGGTAACCAGCACCCCCATAGGACAAGCCAACAGGGAAACCGAGGCACGCCGAGGGATGCGGCGGCTGGATAGGGAGCCCAGCTTAGTGCTGGTCTCTCTGATGGGGAAACTGAGGCACGGGACAAGCCTTGCTGGTGGCATCTGGGGAGGGTCAGCCCCTACCCTGCCTACACCCCGCTACCCAGCCCACCCCAAGGGTGCCCGCTGCCCCAGCGGGGCCGTACCTGGGTAGGGCACCCGGCCTTTGGTCACCAGCTCAGTCAGGAGGATGCCGAAGGACCAGACGTCCGACTTGATGGTGAACCTCCCAAACAGCGCGGCCTCCGGGGCCGTCCACTTGATGGGGAACTTGGCACCTGCAAGGGGAGGCAGGTGAGGCATGGCCAGGGCACCCTGCTGCACCTGCACCTGAGGTACCCCACACTCGGGGCACCCAGCACCGGGGGCACCCAGCACTGGGGGTACCCTGCGCCTGGGGCACCTTGCACTAGAGGCACCCGGCACCTGGAGCACCCTGTACTGAGGGCGTTCGGCACCCAGGGTATCCTGCACTGGGAGGATCCAGCACCCAAGGCACCCTGCACCTGAGGTACCCATCATCCGGGGTATCCACCACCCAGGATACCCATCACCTGGGGCACCCATTGCCCGGGACACCCAGCACTGGGGGTGACCAGCTCCAGGCCCAGGGTGGGACGTAGCACGGAGGGGACAGGGCAGCGGTCCCCACAGCAGCGGGACACCAAGCAGACTCACCCTGGCGTGCCGTGTACTCGTTGTCCTCGATGAGGCGAGCGAGGCCGAAGTCAGCGATCTTGCACACCAGGTTGTCTCCCACCAGGATGTTGGCAGCGCGGAGGTCCCGGTGGATGTAGTTCATCCGCTCGATGTAGGCCATTCCCGCTGCGATCTGGGCGGGGGGAAGCTCCCTGGGGGGCATCCCCGCCCCGTGCCAGCCTCCCCGGTACCTGGGCAGCCATGTCCACCAGCTGGGGCAGCTTCAGGTAGCGACCGTCCCCGTCCTTGAGGAAATCCAGCAAGCTGCCTGCGGGCAGAGGGTGCCAGTCAAAGCACCTGAGAGCCAGCCGTGCCCACCCAAAGGTGCCCTCCCCTGCAAGCCCCCAGCCCTGGGACCAGCTCCCTGCCCGCCCCGGCTGTGCCCAGGCAGGGTTAGGCTTGCAGAAGAGCTGGGGGGTCCCCCGGGCAGCGCCCCCCGCTCACCCTGGCTCATGAACTCAGTGACGATGTAGATGGGCTCCTCCGACACCACGGCGCAGAGCTGCACCAGCTTGTCGTGCCGCAGCCGCCTCATGATCTG